AAATGTCATATGTCACAGAATGTCTCGGAACTCGGAACATAAGTAAACAGAACAGCACGCCTCTGAAATATGTCATCTTTGTTTGTCTCATTCAGGTAACAGATTCATTGTCCTTTATTAGCTATAACCAATGTTGCCAAATGGTGAAACAGAAACGAATCCCTTTAAATGTTGAATGCATTAAGTATTTAAATAATTTTTTAAAGAAAAAGTTTAAAATGCGTTGTTTTAGAGCTTTTTTATGAAAACTACATGATTTTCGTCAGGAGGAACATTCCCCATTTCCTCGTGGCAGACTAAATTACGTAAAGGGTAACAACTCAAATATATTTAATCATTGAGCAATAATCCCGAATTTTCACATCTATCGATTTCTAAATATTCCAGAAGGTTGAACCTTTCTCTTCCAAATGCAATACGTCATAATCGTGATTACATTTCCGCCCCTCTGTCGAAAGATGGTCTTCTCATTCATAAAACTACCTCTATGCTCTTTTATTCTTTTGGAAAAAGTTCTTCCGGTTTGTCTGATATAAAATTTTGAAGAACCACCTGTCAGCTCGAGTGAATTCATTGAAAACAATAAAGATAAAGCACCTGTGTTAGTAAAGACACGCCTGAAGAAGCTATTGTTTAGCGAAACATGTGTTGCGTTTTTGTTAAACTATCAAATGAAAATCTCGCAATGAAGTGTTTCCTGAATACGTTGAGGATTTTCATCAGGTTTCGACCGATTCCATCACATATCTTGAGGAAACTGGTCATTAGGACAGATTTTTGAAGTGCAGACGATACGATCATATTTTTCAGGTGAATTAGAAACTTTGTTAGCACAAGAGCATATTTTGAACAACGATTCAAAAAACGTAAATAATATTTCTAGATATCATTGTTTGAATATAAATCCCAACAAATCCTCTTTTATTATATTTGGAAATTGTAAAGACAGACAGAAGGCCACAGATTGAATGAAATTCAAAAAGGACATATATTTGGACAACATGAAATATAAAACCGATATGGACGGTAAACAAGTCAGAGCAACCAATTTCAAGAAAGAAGGTGCAAACTCAACTTTCCAGTTCAATGTGAAATTTCAGCTGTTAAAACTACTTTCTCTTCTTGCTTCATTAATTTACAGTAGAAAAACACCTGTAGTGAAAAACTCTGGTAATATCTTTCATGGGGCTTTATAAAAAACATCTTAAATCATTTGTTTGCATAATACTGGACTAGATATCTGGCAGTCATCCTTCTATAGAGATTTCCGTTATCAAGAGTTTCCTCTTCCATCTCTGACAGTTTCGGGAAGCACAATCAACAATCTCTCAGCAGCTTCAATAGTTAATGCAGGGCTCGAACTGTAGCTAAAAGCTGATCCAGTTCCACTTTGTATGCGATCAGCTGTTGTTGTCTTTCTGCACATTGTTCACAGCTCCTGTTGGTGACACTTTTCTGGGCCAGGCTCTGGACAATCGCCCGGAGCCTATACTCCCGTTCTTCGTAGCGTTTCTCCAGGAAAGCGATCTACAATCANGTTTCTCGATGATTGTTACGGTTTTCTTTTGAGCTATAAAAACCTTTAGAGCAAATACAGAATCTCCCCTTGGGCATATCTCAAACTTCAATCTGCTCTTGACCTGAGCTTAATAAAAGTTTATTAATTGAGTCTATATGGAGACACTTTCCAAGTTCATATTCATGTACATGGTGGGTCAAATTGGACACTTTTGAAAGAGGAACTCCTGTTTTCAAACTAGATGGATGAAAACTGATGGTTGTGTCGGAGGGTCAAATTTTATGACAAACTTAATGGTGAAAACCGCATATCGATATCTATGATCGTTTATGAGTTACTGTAACTTTTTTCCTGTCAAGAATTTCTTGTTTCTATGGAAACATTTCCAGAGCACTTTTTTGAAGTAGAATTCAATGGTGTAGAAAACTTATTTTTTCAAATGAGATATCAATAGTTATTGATAGAAAACTATTTTTTATTTAGACCCCCTGTATATTCCTATTAATAGAGCTTAAAATTACCTTTTTAAAAATGTAGCACACTTGAGTCATCTTTGAAATACACAGTGCTAGTGATTTGTCCTTAAAAAAATCCATGTTGAACGTTAGATACAAATTTTTCACCGTTCACCTCATAGAAATTATTGTAGACAGTGACAGTAACTAATAAGCCTGTAATTTTACACGCATTCCGAATTGAGTTTTGCCTTGAAACTATTCCTACCTTTTTCAACAAGGAGGAAACTTCGGTGTTCTCGTTTGACATCTCAAATGCACTGTAAGGGACGTTCAGTAATCTGTTATTCAAGTGATCTCTTTCGATGGTCACGACAGCCAGTTCTTCTTTGGCAGCGCTGACCTGTGACTGAAGAGCGGCTATCGAAACTTGCTGCAACTCCAGTTGCTCTCTTAGAGGAGTCACGCTGGCCACGTAATTTGCCACTTCTCGTTCGTGGGCTTCTTGAAGAGCGGTTAACTGAAACAAAAAAAGAGTCTAGTACTGTTCAAAAGTTTTCCGTTCCCGGTGAAGCGAATATCTACTGAAAAGAATAGAAAAGCGAATTAAGTCCCTACTTCGAACGCAGTAGATTTTACATCGACAACTCTGTTAAAATCAACATAACACATGGAGTGAAAAATCCCGGGCTTTATCATCTTTTGCTTCAGAATAGGCCTCAGTTTCAGAAATAACTTTTTCATTAGAACGAAATTTCTCACTGGTTGTCATTTTTTGAGGTCTGCAAACAGTCAGTAGTCGCTGGAAGCCAAATCTGTCGAATACGGTGGATGTGGAATCAATTAGATGTTCAATTCTTGTAGTTTTGCCATTGTTTTGCTTGACTTGTGACACGGCGCGTTGTCTTCTTTGCCATATGATGTCGTTTCTTTGAAATTTCGGCCTTCAAACGCTTCAATAACGCTATATAATATTAACTGTTGGTGGTATTTCCCTTCTCAATATAGTCGATTAATATTACACCATGCACATCCCAAACTACCGTGGCCATAACCTTTCCAGCCGATTGTTGAGCTTTTGGGCGCTTTCAACGAGGTTCACCAGTTGTTCTCCACTCAGATAACGATCGTTTTGATTCCAGAGTGAAGTGATGGGATCCATGTTTCATCCACTGTCACATATCGACGCAAAAATTCTAGTTTGTTATGTTTAAACATTGCCAAACACTGCTTAGAATATATGTGATTGATGACTTGTTTACTTTATGGTTATTCATGATCACTTAAATGAAACGGATAAAAACTCTTTTGTCTAAATACCACTGGAGGAATCAACAATGCTGTTTCCCACACCATTAGATCAGCCGCGGCTCGTCAGAGGAGGCAAGGGAGGCTTAGCCTCCCCATCGCAATAAATTGAAAGATATTGACAAATGATTATGATGCTAAAAATGCTTGGTTATCATTACTTCACCTATAATTTTTAATATAAATATATAATATGGCCGAAAAAACACTATCACTCACTACATAGTACGTACCACACTGTATCCTGCATCAACAAAACTCAAACGGACCGCCCATGAACAAATAACGAATTAACCATCAAATCGAAATAATAAATGCCATACGTTGCAAGGGAGCCAAGCCTCCGACCGCTTTAAAAAAACACAGGCTCCACGAGACCGATCCAACCAGCGACATAGCGGTTGGATCGGAGACCAACTGGAGGCTAGCCTCCAGTTGGTCTCCGTTAGTGTACGATTGCGTTTGTTTTTTATTTAGTTATTCGGACGGGATGCCGTGACGGACCGGGACTGAAAAATATTTTGGTAAAGCATATATTTTCGTCTTGAAAATTAAAATTGTTTAGCAAACAAAATATAGCAACAGCTTTAAATACAGCTCAAAAAGAGGCCATAATTTCTTTTATTAATCAGGTTAGAGAAAAAGACTTATCAATATTACGATTTATTTGAGTTCCCAAGAATTAGCTTTTCGTGGATACGATGAAACCGAAGATTCCATTAATCGCGGCAATTACAAGGAACTTTTAATGTTATGGGGCAAATATGATTCACAATTTGACACTTTTTTGGACGGTAGCGTTTTTTCGGGCACCTCAAAAACCATCCAAAATGAGCCTATAGACAGTGTGGCATATATTATTAAGGAAAATATGCATGATGGGAAATTGATGAAACTACCGATATTACCTGTACATCACAACTTTCAATCGTTTTTAGATATGTCAAAGATGGTAATGTGGTAGAACGTTTTGTGGGTTTTCATCTGGGCGTACAACTGACGATTTGTTTTATTTTTTAATTCGTACGTGTGACACCTATAATTTTAGGCAAAAGTTAATTGTGCAAACTTATGATGGGGCTGCGGTCATGGCCGGCCATTTAAATGGTTTACAAACTAAAATAAAGTCCATAGCTCCTCATGCATTTTTACGCATTGTCATGCTCATGCCCTAACTTCAGTATTAAGCAAAGCGTGCAACAGCATACAAATTATCGCGCCTCCGGCGTGCCTTTCTGTGTGTATATAGTCTTTATGACTTTAGACTCCCCTGTTCTCCAACGCACGAGCCGTCACTGCATAGTAAATAAAAAAGATAATATGCATGAACCCCCAGCCTCCAGAACTGTATGGAGTGATAAAACTCCATAAATAAGGGCATTCAGACCCGTGGTATCATATATAGTCCCAACCAGTAAGTTATCAAGAGACCTCACAAAATTTAATCCCTCAAACACAGTTCTAAATTCAGTAGACTTAGCTGACAAACTATAAAATCTGAATATCAAAAATAATATCAAACTAGTGTCGTTCGACGTAAAAAACATGTTTCCTAACTTCCCAATAGACGAATGTCTTCCCCTCGTGAAATACATATTAGATAAGAGCCATACAAATCCATATATAACTACCGAATTTTGCAATCTCCTTGATACATGTGTGATACATGTCCTTGATACATGTGAGCCCATAGGGAGACTCAGGTCTCGCTATGGGCTCACCATTAAGTCCGATTCTGGCAGACATTTTCATGGACACACTAGAAAACACCCGCATCCTTAATAACCCCCTTTCACAGAAACATATTGTGTTTTGGTTCAGACATGTTGATAACGTACTGGTTGATTTTGATGATTCAAACAGACAAATTAATCAATTTTTAAGCTTTCTCAATACTCTGCATAACAAAATTAAGTTTACAGTAGAAATCGAAAAAAACAAGCAGCTTAGCTTCTTAAATTTGAATATTTCGAGAGTTAATAATGATTTTCACTTCAATATCTACCGAAAAAACACGTTCACAGACTGTACAATTTCCTTTGATTCTTTCAGTCCGCTCTCACATAAGTTATCCGCGTTTAGGTCAATGATACACAGAGCTTTCGCAATCCCTTTACAGGAAAAGAGTTTCCAAGATGAAATAAAAATAATTAAGCAAATTACAGTGAACAATCAGGTATCAATTTCCCTAATAGAAAAGATAATAACAGGTAAAACTCCCAAATCACTTATGAATAAATTATACCCAAACTGCCGAGAACAAGTCAAATACAGTAGCATCAATTACTCAGGTAAACTTTCAGAAAATATTCGAAATTATTTCTCTAAATACAAAATATCAACAGCTTTTACAAGTTATAATAATTTAGTTGGAACCCTGTTTAATGCAAAATCCAAACGGGATAGAATGAAAAAATCAGGTAATACAGTGCCTTCATTTCAAAACTTCCATCCCCTGGTACTTTATTTAGCACGGAGAATTTGCCGTAGGCAAAAAACACTTCAATTTAGATATCGAGGAGGAAGTTCAAAACCAGTGCCAGTAGTATTTTAGGTTTAACCCCCTTACCCCTAGCTACCACCACTTAAATGGCACCCCCTATCTTGTAACACGTCATTTTAAAGATCTTAAGAATTCTCACTCAACCCCATTTAGATAACTGAAATTGGTTCATCCGTTTCGTAAAATAGGGCAAAAAGAAACTGAATTATAACAAAATGCAAACATTCATGGAACCGCTACCACTGACTCAATAACGGTATGTTTATGTCTCTTCTTTACACAGAGTGTTTTGCTTTAGCTGAAAGTGAGATAAGGGCACACAGTTGCTTCTTGGCGTCAGTTACAATCAAATGGTGAAAACATTTATCAGAATTAGTTATTCCTGATATTAAACTGTTTGTCAAGTAGTGTCAGTTGCACTGACAGTATTATAAATCGTAATGGTGTACACTTTACAAGAAAGAACTGAAATTATTTTTATTTGTGGTGCTGGAGATAGGTGTGCTCGTAGGACAGCCCGGGTTTTTAATGAAAGGCATGTAGGCTAAAATGTGAGTCACCCATATGTTCTAGACCTTGTTCAAAAATTTTAAGAGACCGGTTCTGTTTGCAACAAAGCAGTAAAGTAGCCGAGAGTTCTTACGGAAGCCGCACAGATTGAGATTTTAGGCAAATTCGCCGTTGAGCCTACTACTTCAATTTTGAAAGTCGCTAAGTTAGTAAATATTTCAGTTAGTTGTATACACAAAGTTTTAAAACTAAACAAGTTCATTCCTTACAAAATTAGTATTCTTCAGCAACTCAGTGAGGATGACTATGATAGGAGAATTGAATTTTGTGAAATAATGACTGCAAGAATTCAAAATGACCCGAATTTAATAAAAAATATTTGCTTCAGTGATGAATCAACTTTTTTTCTTAATGGCTTTGTAAATAAGCATAACTGTAGATACTGGGATAATGAAAATCCACACTTGTTTCGAGAGGATCATACGCAATATCCACAAAAATAAACGTCTGGGCTGGAATTCTGGGAAACGAAATTATCGCCCCTATTTTTATTGAAGAAAATTTAACTGGTCAATTGTATTTGAACTTATTGGAAAATGTAATCGATCCACTCATAACACAGTCCTTAGAACGCCAAGTTGATGAAGAAGACAACCCGCTCTTGGATGAACAAAATTTACATTTCCAACAGGACGGCGCACCACCACACTACGCAAAGCATGTCCGACAGTGGCTCGATCAACGGTATCCTGACAAATGGATTGGCAGATGAGGCTCTGGAATGGCCGGCGAGATCTCCGGATTTAACGCCATTGGATTTCTTTCTCTGGGATTATTTGAAGACAATGGTGTAAAAACTCCCCCGCAGGACATTCAAGATCTAAGACACAGGATTATTGACACATGCAGACAAATTAATTACGAAACATTCACAAAAGTCCGACAGGCATTCGAGAATAAATTGTACTTTTGCTTAGCTACCAATGGTGAACATTTTGAACACCTAATAAAGCAATGTACATTCATTTAATTGCAATAGCTATTATTTTATTTTTTTATTATAATTCATTTTCTTTTTGCTCTATTTTACGAGAACGGATCAACCAATTTCAGTTTTCTAAACAGGGTTGAGTGAGGATTTTTAAGATATACTTGATAATGGGGTAAAACCCGAAACCGGTCGTATAAATAAAATCTACCAGTGGTATTTAGACAAAAGTCTTTTTATTCATTTCATTTAACTGCTTAGAATCATCGAGACGTTCTTGTTTTTGGTCAACAGTAAGCTCGCGCGGCATCCACTTTGAACAGAGCTTTCTTATAGTCGAATGCTCATGCAATATAAAGCCAACACGTTCTATTGATACCTTTACAATGTCAGGTAACTCACGCATCTTCACTTTTCGATCATTCAAAACGATTTTGTGGACTTTTTTGTTTTCTGGTGCCTCATTTGGACGTCTGTCTGTCTGTAGAGTAGAGAGGGTGAGTGTAAGCCCACAGCACTTAGGCCACATGTGACCCATTGTACATCCTCCCGAGGAGTTGTCCTGCTAGGTCATCATCCATCCTGTCCTTTCCAGGAAGGTGGAGACATCTCCTTTATATCGGCAGGTGTAGACCAAGACTCGCCAAACACACACTCTCTTATTGACGATAACTCCGGGCACTCGCATAGGACATGCCTGACAGACTCATCTTCCTGTTCACACATCCTGCATAGAGGTGTCCACTAGCCCTATTATATGGAGGTGTTTTCTTAGTTGACAGCGGCCAGTCAGAAATCCTACTGTCAAGCGTAGATTTTTTCCTGGTCATCGCCAGATATTTCTTCGGCGCCAGCTTCCCATGGTCGCCCAAGGTGATCCTGGCAAGATTACATCCTTTGATTTCATCCCATCTCTTTAAGGATTGAGCATGGGTGTAACATTTGACTAGTTCCGCAATTGTCGAAGACATCAGGCCGTAGGTGCCACTGGGTCCTAAAATTCTTAGACCAGCCGCTTCCTTGGCTGAAGAGTCGGCAATGCGATTACCTATACTCCTGTCGTGCCCTTTAACCCACCTCAGGATAATGTTATTATCTACCGAGGCTTTGGCTAAATCTTGGTGATACTCTAGTACTAGCCCTGAGGTTACACGTTCTCTGTTCGAAGCTAATACGGCTTGTCTGTTGACATTGCAGATTGTTATGTTTTTGCCAGAAATTCCTTTCCTGGTCATTTCTTTTGTGGCGATTGAGATTCCAGGCAGTTCTGTTTGGCATTTCTTCCCATTCCCCACTTAATCCTTAGGCTTAGTGATCTGGAATACACTGCGTTTTGCATCATTGGTGTCTCTTCTCAGCAAACTAAATTTTAATTGTTGTTTCTGATGGAGCGGAGTCCTAACAACACTTTTCAAGCCATTGCTTAGCATTAAGGTTAGCACTAACTGAAAAAGTGGTGAATGCAATAAGACTAGCGCCATCTATGTGTTAGACCCAAGACTTTTCAGCCCAGGTACTACGTTAAAGAGGAATCAGTACTTACGTCTTGTATTCTCTTAGTCTTCAAAGCCTGATAATCCGCTTCCAAACTACTCAGTTGCTCTTTCAGTTTATCCCTCTCACACTTCATTTGGTTCAGCTGTTCTTCCTTCCTAAACTCCCTCTCAGAACTTGCACTGTTAGACCTGGTCTGTGAGGACAGCCTTTCCGGATAGCTCCTGAACTCCTTCTTATCTATTAAACTTTTCAAACTCCCTTCTCTTTCTTTCTGTAACCTTCTGTTCGTCTTCTTCAAATCGTCCACCTCNGACCTGGTCTGTGAGGACAGCCTTTCCGGATAGCTCCTGAACTCCTTCTTATCTATTAAACTTTTCAAACTCCCTTCTCTTTCTTTCTGTAACCTTCTGTTCGTCTTCTTCAAATCGTCCACCTCCTTCTGTAGCTTACTGAGCACCTTTTCTTTGTTGGTCAAGTCTGCTTGCAAACCCCTTATGGTGGCCAAGAGGTGGGCGTCCTCCTTCGTTACTTCAGAAGGATTCTTCCTCGGAAGGATTTGTTTTTGGGGCTTAGCTGGTGCGTCCGTTTGTGTATGAACCGAGACGGTTGCTTTTTCTGCAGGAACTTTTTCGGGAACAGTCTGAGTGTACACCTCGTAGCTGTCACACTTATTCTTCAGCTGGTTCTTCAAATCTTCTACGTGCGTCTCCAAATCTTCTATGTGGTTCTCGTACTTTGCCTTCATTTGATTGAACTTTTCCTGTATTTCCATGAAAACTTTGGAAGACTGGGACTCTCTGTTCAGCTGTTCTTGTTCGAGGGCTTTTATTCGGTCCTCTAAAATCTTTCTGGCCGTCAAGTTTGTGTCTGTCGCGTTCTCTTTGGCAGCTACAATAAGAGCCGACACTGAATCTGGGTGTTTTCTCGCTATTATCCTTTCCATTTCCTTTATTTGCCTGTTCAAATCCAAAATGCATCTGGCGTCTTTTTCGTTTTGCAGCTTCAGGCTTTTGCTTTGCAATTTTTCGATCTCCACCAGCTTGTTCAAGTTTATTTCGTTCTCCAGCAACTTGTCTTTGGACTTTTGCAGGCTGAGTATTTCGCTTTTGTACTTGTCCAAGGTTGAATCCAGTTCCACCAAACGACGTTCCAACGTTTGATTCGAATTCGCGAGATCATCGTAGGAACTTTTGAGAAGTTGGTGACTCTTGTTGACTGCGTCTAGCTGCAGCTGCAGAGCAGTGTTGATCTCTTTCGAGTCTTTGAGGTGTTCGAGAGCTTTTTCGAGCTCTATATTCAGCTCTGGAGATGAAACCGACTTTGTACTCAATGCTGCTTGGGATTTTTCTAAGAGACCATTCGTCTTGTGTAGAGCTAGCTGAAAAAAAACGGACCTGAATAAGCCAGTAATAATAATAAATAGCAAGGGTCCTAAAACGGAGCCCTGTGGGACACCAAACATAACTGGGTACTCAGCAGATCTCCGACCGGAGACACTCACAAAATACTTTCGTTCCTCCAAATATGACGAAAAAAGCTCCAAAGTCACGCCTCTAGCCCCATATCTTTCCAATTTTAATAGCAAGAAATCATGTCGTATCCTATCAAATGCCCTTGACAGGTCGTAAAACCTCGCCTCACAAAACTGACGACTCTCAAAGGCATCCACAACTTCATAAAATTCACATAAAGCCAATACAGTAGACCGGTTAGGTCTATAGCCAAATTGCGCATTACACAGCAGCCTATTTGACTCGAAAAATTGGAGTAACCTTTCCTTAAGAATTATTTCAAATATTTTACCAATTAGCAGAATGATAGAAATTGGTCGATAATTATCAGGAAGGTTAATATCACCCTTTTTATGCAAAGGGGTCACCTTAGATATTTTGAAAGCGTCGGGACTAAAGACATAAAGACATAGACTAAAGACATAATTAACTGCAGACTTTTTGCAAACCTCCAAGAAGTAAGTAAAAAGAATAGTTCTGGTGCATTAGCTTCTCTTAACATTCTTGACATTGGACTATTAAATCCATGATTGGTAGAATGTGAGTTCTGAACGAAAACAGCTCTATTATCCCTTGTCACTCTTTGCTTGACTCTCAGGCCAACCAAAGAGGAAGTTCTGGGCAATTAATTTGACCTGACAATTATATTGAAATATCAGGTCAACCTGAATCCTCCTGTTTTCCAATTTGGTTAGATGTAGTGTAGAAAGAATATCAGCATAGTTATGTCGCTGGTCTATTTGAACGCCCATTTTGTAGGCAGCACTACGCAAAAATTTGTTTTGAACCTTCTAGAGTGATTTGTACACTAAGTACAAATCACTCTATACTCTCACTCGTACTATAAATGTGACCTTTATGATGAACAACATAGAATTTTTATTGTGCTTTAGCGATCCTACCTATATATTCAAGAAGCGATTTCAAGGTTATTTTTTTAATATGGAATGAGATTGACAACTTTTCATCAGATAGACCACCAAGATCTTCAACTTCATCAACTTGGTTTGAGGGCAAAGAGTTTATGTAGTATTCATATGTGATTCGTACCTGAGAACGACTGAAACACATGACTAGACATTTGTCAAGATTTAGTGCCAAGCAGTCATTTCTACACCAATTAGTTAAATGGTTCACATCATTTCGAAGTTTCAGACAATCAACATATGATTGAATCACACGGTATAGCTTGAGATCATCAGCAAATAACAATCCCTCTGAGTCAGTAATGTGTGCAAAAAGATCATCAATAAAGATACTGGTCCATAGTGACTACCCTGGGGAACACCAGAACAGGCCACAATTGTATGTGATATGTAATTATTGATTTTCACCTACTGAATTCTACCTATAAGGAAGCTGCCATTCCAAAAGCAAAGGATTCTAATTTTGAAACAATACGCCATGAATAACTCTATCAAACGCCTTTACAAAGTGTGGCCCACTAAGCGGGACACTTCCCTGAAATTTGCATCTTTTCTCCGATTTTGAATTGTAGAGCTCAAAACACTGTACTTTGGGACCAAATATCATTTTTCTTCAACAAAAACCAAGGCCTGCGAATATTTTTATAAGTTAAAATCGTATTAGCGATTTTTTTAGAAAAAATTTAAAACCACCATTGGACTCGGCACCCTCTATTCGCGGAAACTCATTCCAAAATTTAACGACAAAAATCATTTGTTTTCAATCCTTGCTCATACATCTACATGAAGATTAAAATTCTTTCTAATTCATATTCATGTCTTATGTTTTATTAATACATTCAGGTGGTCGATTTACCGAGAATTGTGAAAAACCTGACGAAAAAAGCCAGCTCAACTGACCTTGTGTATAATAGCATCATTAGAAGAACCAAAACATATCAAGCGTCAAAACAAGATTCAATAAGTACAGCAGGAATGCGATTCGTATCATTATACTTGACTTTTAATCTGTACACGGTGGTTTCTGAATTTGTATTCAGCCAGAGTAAATATTAGGCCGCTGACATACTTCGGATATCCCAATCCCTTGACAACAAGGAGATTGCGGTTGCTGTATTTCTCGATATGGAAGGAGCATTTAACAATGCACTACCTAAATCTAGAGGATCATGTCCGGCTAGGAAAAGTATAGAATCGACCATAACTGGCTGGATCTATAACATGCTGGTAAACAGAACTGCAACTACGACTCTTCAAGGCGAAGCCATTAGGTCTAGGGTCGCCAGAGGCTGCCCTCAAAGTGGGGTCTATCTCCCCTTCTGTGGTCGCTCCTGGTGGATAGTCTGCTTGATGCCTTCGACAGAAGAAAAGTAGATCTGCAAGCTTATGCAGATGACCTTGTTATCTTGGCAAGGTCCACGTCGGAAAGGGCAGCTTGTAATATCCTCCAAAGCACGTTGGACGTTGATCACATTTGTTCTCTGAGAGAGCAGATGTCAACCCCAGTAAAACTGTGATAATCCCCTTCACCAGGAGGAGAAAATTGGACGATCTAACGCCACTTTCCCTCAATGGTGAGGTCATTCCATTTGGAATGGAGGTGAAATATCTTGGCATTTTCCTTGATACAAGACTCACCTGGAACGCTCACTTGGAAAAAGTTTTACACAAAGCCAGACTGCCCCTATGGACATGTCGAAAGATTTGTGGTAAAACTTGGAGTATAGGTCCCAAACAAATCCATTGGATTTAGGTGATGATTGTCAGACCAATGATCAGACAGGCTTGTCTAGCCATCAGTGGTGACATCTGTACCACACCGTCAGCGGCCATGGAGATCCTTCTAGATCTACCTCCTTTCCACATTTTTCTGGAGAGAGAGGCTAGATGGACTGCATATAGACTTGTGCACACTCCCAATTGCACAAATCAATTTTAGGCAGAATGCAACAGACTGTTGGTTGATACTGAAAGTCATAGCATTCTGAAAATGACCTCTGACTTTATGCCTCCAACTGTCAACTACTAACTGCCTTATAAAGAACCGTTGCCGAGAAGAGAGGACTGGATCCTCCGGGAGAAGGAAATATTAATAGCAGATAGTTGTTGGTTCACAGATGGATCATGAAAACCTTCCTGTTCTGCTGCAGGTGTTTTCAGTCGCAGACCCAGGAGAGATATCTACCTGCCTAGGAACTTATGCGACTGTATTTCAAGCGAAAATTTACGCTATTAAATTGTGTTCGGAGAAATTGCAAGAATACAATCTCATACACAAGTCAATAAAAATATTCTCGAACAGTCAAGCGGCGTTGAAAGCTCTCTTGGCTACTACCGAGCAACGTCTAAATTGGTAACAAATTGCCGAAAACGACTCTCCTCGATAAGAAGACTTCACAGATTGTGTCTGGTCTGGATTCCTGACCATACTGGCCTGGAAAGCAATGAGATTGTTGACTCCCTGGTAAAGGAAGGTGCTACAAGCAGAGTCGAATAGACCCGCTCACTTTGGACCTAACCTTCAGGATTTCCGAGCGATTTTGTCCGAGCGGAAATTGCTGGGTAAAAATCGCACGGTCTCCGCGATTTCCGAGCTATTTCCTGGCAGAGAAAATGCAGGCAAGTTTTTTACTTTACCACTGACATTCTCGATATGAAAAGAGATTATCCTAATTTCCCAAAATGGATACTTTTCTCCAATTCCAGCAACCTTGTAGATCTCACCGTTTCCGAGATAACAATAGTGGGATCAGCTAAAAAACGACCTGTATAAACACATTGAGAACAAAGAAACAAACGAACAACTCCAATACTACAGGTAAAGGTCAGAGAAATGTTGCCGAGTGTCATTAGCTTTGCAGAAAATCTCTTCTGCGCCTCCGCGAAGAACTTGACCGATACCGTTTCTTCCATCCAGGTCAAATGTGCCGCGAAGGTATATAAAGGAGGATATCCTTGGCCGCGGTCTTCATATTATAATGAGGCACACGTTTTTGTTTGTGTTTGTCGTTTTTGCGGTTGGCCGTGTCACTGGTCGTGCATCTTTCCCAGTACAAGGTGAGTACTCATCAAGTTATTATTATACTCGTATCTCCCAATGTTCCTCATATTAATAATAATGATAATGTTCATTCACTATATTGATTACATACAGTGAGCTGCTAAATTATTATGGAACAAATTCTTTATTTCGCAAGCAATGCACTTTTGACAAAAATCCTGATATAGGTCGATATTTATTTTTGAACGTCGATTTTTAAATGTGTATTCTGTATATTTCAAAGCCTCTAAATTTTACGGTTTACCTACAAAGAGTTGCGATTTAAAATAAAACTATTGGAAAAAAAATATAGTGGCTTCAGATCCGGAGATCTCGGGGGCCACTCTATCGTTCCGCGCCTACCAATCAGCTTCCTAGGGGAAACAGTTATTTACAAACTAGCAAACGTCACGTACATAGTGTGGGAATACACCATCATGTTCCAACTACATACTTTGCCCTTGTAGAGGTGGATTGGTATACGCGGAACGATAGAGAGGCCCCAAGTCTTCAGTTTTACGCCACTAGATTGTTTCTTGTGGGGTCGAGGGTCTATGTTTGTTGACAGTAAAATTTAGAGGACTTGAAAAATCGAATTGGGGTCATTCAGAAGTTATTCGCAATGTACATAAGGAATATGTCCGTAGATTTGCGTATCATCAAGATATTGGTGGATGGCAATTTGAACATCTAATATAACTACTGTATATTGTAGGATATGAAGTTATTCTTCCACTGAAATGAAATTCATTTTTGGTCACCTTGTACAAAAATATCAAATCGATGATCATCACTGAATGCAGTATTGAAAGATCTTTCAGATATTATGAGACAAAATACAGTAAAACACACGTAATGTACGAGGAGCCTTCAAATATTTGATTTTAAACAGGAGTAAAGTACTCTTATTTTAAAAAAACTCGGGAAATGTTATTCAGAAAAGTTGTTCAGCATTGAAAAATACATCTATATTTCAAGTCATGGCCACCTAAGTGGAGTTTTATTTTTTTACCAATTTCATTTTAATGGGGACTACGAAAAGAAAAATTTGCTAAAACGATAAATAGACATTATCCTGTATACGACGTTTTATTTTGATAGCCTGCAATATTACAACATACACAACTATGGTGTTAACCACGGTCAATTTTTTGAAGAGTAAAATAAGTTTAAAAGTTTTTGGTGCAAAGTTATTTTTATTTTTTGTTAACACCGAAAATTACTCAAAATTATACAGTATTGTAACAAGAACTTAATATTCAATATAATCAAATCACAAAACATCAAAATAAAATAAACTTTTTGTCGAAAAACCCTTAATAAAGAAGTTTCCCATATGGTGCATACTTTGGGGATGACACTGTATACAGATTTATTACCCTCAGTGTGAGACTGGATTAATTTACAGAATTGATGAATATTGGGAATGATGAAGAGCTTGCTGAACATCGTTTATATTTAGCCGAATAAATCGAGAAGTTCGGTATTGAACATAATGAATGTTTTGATTGAATTCTTCAATGTATTGACATTGGAATTGTTTCTTATGCTAACTGGCAGAAGATTGAATAATTCTGGACCATGATAGAAAATACATCTCTGTGTGTGACTTTTATCAAATGTTAGTTTTATGGATGAACTAGTAACGAATCTTATTTGTTGTTCTTTGTTTGTTGATTGAAGTGTAAATTTGTTTGTGTACACCCAAGTTGAACATTGGTGGATATAGAGTTCTCACTACACCGTATGTTATCATGGGTCTCACTACCCTTGTATAAAAACATATTTTAAACAGAACAGTGTTTTTTTTGGGTTCAGCCCCAGTTTTTCCCACACATTCTTCTGCAGATTCCCAGGGCCATCCTGGCATTATGTCCTGTTTTTTGGATGTGGAGGTTCCACGTGAGCCTGTGATCGAAAGTCTCACCTAAGTATTTGACTTCCATGGCGAAAGGGATCTCCACTTCATTGAGTATTGGCGGTTTAAGTCCTCTCATAAAAAGTAAATAGTTACCGAACGTAGGCGGTTTCTTTGTATGGCATGGGCGGCGTGGCATAATTTTTTTGTCTAATCATTAATTTTATGTGGGAGGTTCTATATGGTATCAAGTAGTAAATTTAGCAGACCCGGTACTTTAGTCTTTTATTTAGCTGTTCGAATTGATTTCGTATAGACTAAACTTTCAATTTGAATGAAATGATCTATTTAAGAAACCCCAACTTGATGTAATAAATTTCTCAGGGACACCCTGTGTATTCGAAAATAATTTCGAAACACACCACAAGTGCATGAAGAATCACTGAAATTTTATTTCGTCTAGCTTCCAGGGCCCGTCTCGTTACACGTGACTCACCCAGTATATATTGTATAAGAAGGAAAAAGTTCCGTTTTAGTAGTGATCAGGTCCGTTATTTGAAAACTATTTCTGAAGAACTGGTTATGAAAGCAATCGTATTAATAAAAATTACCATTAGAGCGGACTACATTTATTTAAGAATGATAAAAAAACATATAGGCATTTATGTTACTAGGCTACAGTATTGATAGTAAGTAAATTGATCGATAAAAGCATATACAGTGTGTCCAAGATAAGGATCCTAAGCATGGAAATCTCAGTACCTGTTGGAGATACAGCTCAGGTTAAATTAGGAAAAAGTTGTGTTCTTTAAAGCTTATTTACATGCCGTTTAGAAACTTGAAGAATTTTCATGGCCTGCTGAGATATTTGGGAAAAACGAGAATTTGACAATATCAATTTTATTTTTTTCTGACTTTATTTGAAAAGATATCAAAAAACGAATAACACTTTTTCATTGGCACTTTCAAGGTACTACACGATGGTATTTTTAGTTTTTATATCCGAC